GGCGGTGGGTGTGCGGAGGCATGGAGATCGCGCGGGGGAAGGGGCCGCGCGAGGCCGGCGCGATGAGGGAGCAGCGCGGCACGCGGAGGGGTGCGGGAAATGCGTGGGCGCACCGCGCGTGCGTGCGCGCGCAAGTGCACACCTCCTCATCGCCTGCGCCGGCGCGGACAGCGATGCTGCGGCGGCGAGCCCACGCGCCGCGGCTGGCGGCCGTGGCGGCAAACGCCCGGTGCCGGCCGACGGGGCCGCTGCTCGCCATGTGACGGCTGCGGGGTGGGTGTCCAGAGGGCATGTGATGAGCGCGCTAGACAACCCGCACGAAATGATGAGGACGGTGGCTATCTGCAGTATTGGCTTGTCGGGCCCGCAGCACGGCCGCGCTGAGCTGTGCATGGCGGTCGACGACAAAAGCGCAGCACGGTGGCGCAGCACCCAACGGCCCTGGGTGTCACCTGCTGGCGTGTTGCATGGTGCCAAGCTGGTGGTCGTTGATGTTGAAGACCACGTCAAGCGTAGCGCTTCGCCGAGCGCGGTGCCCTTGGCTATATCGGAGCGCTCGGTATGGTTCGAGATGCTGGCTGGCACCGACGATCTCTTGATAGCACAGCTATACAAGGGCTATATGGATGCCAGGAACGTCTTAGAATACCTCATTTGGCCTCCGTGGCCCTGTTCAGCTAAAGCCAGGATCCAAGGCGGGTTGAATTCCGCTGGCCACGCGCACTTTTTGTGCGTGATTTGCCTCCTCAAACTAGCACGACATGATCATGATATCGTTTCCTATCAGTACGCAATCATGAAGCAGCTCAGCAGCAGATCACGGGCACCACAACTCGAGAGATGCAGGGCGCCATGCCTCTCATCGCGCGTGGCGGTTAGCGTGAGAGCTCAGCAAAATTCAGGCCCAGAAGCGCCCGCAGCGGGCAAAAAAGAACGGGAGCTTGGTGCGCGACGATGCTGCGCATGCTGCCTGGGGCCTGGTGCCACTTGCGCTGCAGTGCAGACAGCGCGTTCGGGCGCCAGTGACTGCGGGCGTTTGGCACGGCGGCAGGATGGTGCACCGTTGTTTTGAAGTGGCGTGTGCATGCCCATTGCTGAGGCGGCGCGCCCCAACATGTTTGGTCCGTTGAGCGCCACATGCAGACAAAGCGGCGCATCGCTGTGCTGTGGACCCTCCGTCCACCACCCGCTCTCGTGCGGCTTTCTAACAACGCATGCCGGCCTTCTACACCCCCACAGGCTTGGGCCTCAAGGCAGCGTGGAAGGGTGCGGAGCTGTTTGGCGACGCCGCGGCCGCCCTCAGCGGCAAGGGCGCCGCCAAGGCCGCAGCGGCCTCCCCGGCCCGCGCGCGCAGCGTCGAGGAGACCGTCGCGTCGATCAGGGCTGACTATGACCGCGACTACTTCATCAGCGGCGACGCGGAGATGGCCGCGTACGCGGACAACTGCGAATTCAGCGACGACTTTGCCGCTTTCGGGGGGGCGGGCGCGACGCAGCGGTTCAAGAAGAACGTGGCCAACCTTGGCGGCCTCCTGTGGGTGGCTGGGGTTCAGGGTGTAGGGGATTCAAAAGTGCGCCCAGCAGACTGTGGCGGCGCGCGCGGGCCGAGCTTGCGTGGACAGTTCGAGTGGCGAGCGCACTGCGCTGCACGCAGCGGGGGGCAGAGCGGATGACATGAATCGAGGACTGCAGCTTCTTCAGAGTGCAGCTGTACCATGCACCCTCCACGCTCACACACATTTATGTAGACACACAAACTCACACTCACTCACTCAATTCCTTGTACACATACTCCATACGCATGATTGACACCAGCTCTGACGTGAAGATCGACGTCGACTCTGACTGGGCGGTAGTGGACAACAGGCTCACCAGTGAGTGGGGCTGGCGGTGGCCCGGGGTTGCGCATGCAGGAGCATGCGGATATGATTGTGTGTTGAGTGTGGTGGTGGGCATATGGTGGACGTATCGGTAGCGGCTGCTGCAACTCCTTTTTGCAAATATCCTGCCTGATGATACTGTGAAGCTCCACCTTGCCGGCCAAGTCGGCGGTTTGCCCCACTACCCCGGCCACAGTCACCCACACTCTCTCTTGCACTCTTTCCATGCATGAGCAGCCAACTGGCGGTTTCAGGGCGTGGTCAAGGGCCTGCCCTGGCGCCCGCTGCTGGCGGCCGCGGGCAGCACGACGCACGTGATTGACCCGGCCAGCGGCCTGGTGGTGGAGCACCAGGAGAGGTGGAAGGCGGACCCTGCGCAGGTGTGTGTGTGGGTGGGCGGGTGGTGTTGTGTGGGTTGCGCGTGTGTGTCTGTGAGCGTTTGGGGAGGGGACAGAGAGGCGCCCCCTGCTCAACAGGAAGAAGAGGCGCTGGGATGGTGGAGGGGCTGGGGGAGGGTGGGGCAGCAGTCCAGGCCCGTCTGGGCATGAGGGGAATGCCAGGACGGCCCGGGGGGGGGGGGGCTGCCTCAGGGGGCTGGCAGCTGCTCCTCCTGCGGGGCGGCATTGCCTGGGGCGCGCGGCAGCTGGCGCGTTGGCACGTGCGGGCGCCGCCATGTGGCGGTGTCCGCTTTTCAGGGCCATGGCCGCGCACCCCTTGGTTGTGGTCCTGCGACAGCCCATCCTGCAACCTCGGTGGCCCGCAGGTGGTGGCGCGCCTGCTGCGGCCGGCGCGCACGCCCCCCGGGACCGCGTGGGAGACCTTCATGCTCTCCCTTTCGGCAGGGGACGTGTCGGGCATGTGAGGCGCTTGATTGGCTGCTCCGTGTTTGTCGATGCTGCGCCAGGCACACACTAGGTCCACAGAGTGCGGGGGAACAGAGGGGCCCGGCAGGGTGGCCAAGGGCATTTTCATGTGCGATTGCTTGCGGCGAGGTGTTTGACAGCATGGCGTCACAATGGCGTCCACCCTCTGCTTTGCCCGCAGGTGGTTTGTGCTGTCTCCGCGCACCATCCCCCTGACCGCGCTCGTTTCCTTGGGGGCTGTCGTGTCGCGGCTCGCCACCGGCAGCTGGCAGTACTTGCCAGGCGGCGCCGGCGGCGCGTTTGAGGTTGTCTGCGGGGTGTTGCTGCCGGCTGCACTGGTGACGGAGGTGATCAAGATCGCAGGCGGCATGCAGGTGAGGAGAGGAGGGGCTGCAGGGGGAGCGTGGGTTGCACCTGTGCTGCGATCGTTGGGTGCGTGCATGTGAGGGGGAGGATGGCGAATGGGGTGTGTTGTGCCTGGCGCTTGGGAACCTGGCAAGTTTTGCAAGGGGGACCGTCGCTGCGGCTACACACAAGGGGTTTGCACTGCTGAGCTGCTAATGGGTCCACGATGCTCATGCATATTCTATCAAAGAATGATTTCATTCCTGCGTCCCCTAACCCATGCACACCCTCCTCTCAATCCCTGCGTTCTCGCCCGACCACTGGCCGAGTAGGGAGGCGAGACAGGCACGGGTGGGCGCTTTTAGTGCGACGCTGCTGAAATTCATTTGCAGGTCAGCGCCAATGTTGAGTGTGTCGAGTGTGTCACCAGTTTTGTTCTTGGCGGTCTTCACGTTGCAAGGCCTGGTTGATGATGAGCGCACTTGCTTTGATCGTCGCGCTTGTGGTGCTTCCATGCAGGCCGGCACATTGCGCTGACTGCTGGTACGTCATGCAGAGAAATGAGCTCGCAACCCACATCCCAGCCCACTTTCCCCATCATGTGGCTCATGCTGCTGCCCTGCCTGACTCTGCTGCGGACCTCTGCCGCCTGTAACGAGTCGACCTACAGCAATGATACGCATCGAGCAATGATACGCATCGGGCCTGCAGACTGCATCATTTCGATCCGTGTAGCATTACAGCAGTGCGTGTGTAAAACATGGTCCTGGAAATTCATGGAACGATACCTCTCTCATCAAAATGCCAAATAGGGCGCACACACAACTCTCAAAACGTCTGCGAACGAAGCAGCGGCACGTGGCGCGCCGATGCGCACCATATCACTGGCGGCGCGTTGCGTCCCACTCTGCCGTTCAAAACTGTCGGAGGCACCTATTCAAAGCTCGAAGCCCAAGCCATTGCCGACGGTGAGGCCGATGAGCTCCAGGAAGCCTCGGTGCGCGATTGCCTCCACCAGCAGCGTGCCCATAAAGCCAATCATCGCCGCCCTGCCGTTAATCTTCTCAGCCCAGTTGACGAAGCCAAACTTGGGCTCGGGGGCCACGGGCGTGCGACGAGGAGCGCTGACACCGCTAGGCAGCTGCACCGCGCGCACTGTCACGGCCCTCCGAGGGGCCCGAGGGACCAGGGTCGGCCGCGCGCTGCTGCTAAGAGTACTGCTGCTGCTGCTGCGCATCGAGAGCCGCTGCTGGACCTGCATCGTGGCTGCGATTGTGTGGAGGGAGATCGGATGAGCGACAAACGATGCGGGACAACGTGTGTGATAGATAGGGTATTTGCAAAGTTTAAGAGTGGCGGAATGGTATGGCAAAAAGGCTCATTGGCGCGTGGGACACTTGGTGCGCGTGGGCGCGCCGTGAAATGCACCGCTCACCACACAAGCGCCCTGCAGCACTTGCCATGCTGGTAAGCCAACCCATATGCCAAGCCCCACAATTGCCTTCAACTGAATAGCACGTTGGTTCATGGCACCTCCATTGGTCGGACTGCTGCGTTGGCGGTGGGTCAACCAGGTGGAGTGGGGTCAACGCGCACGATCGTGTACATTCTCACGCAGCTTGCAGGGCCATCAAACACCTCCTACACCTGTGCCTGTGAAGAACAGTGGGTCATCCGTCAATATTATGTAGACGCGCGTGGTATCAGAGCTCATAACCTGAGCTTGATTGCTACCTTTCGGTTCCAGGATGATCCACCTTATGTTTCTGTGTGGAGCGAGTATGGGTGCCATGGAACTGAAGATAATTGAGTGTGTGGGTTTGTGCATCTGCTCAAACATGTGTGCTCTAGTGTCAAGTAGATGATGCAGTAGGCCGGGCCGGATGCCCATCAACTGCTCGACCTCTTGCAAATAATTTGTGCTGGACGCAGAAGCCTGGGGATACTGCCCTAGTTTCAGCACATAGTCAGTGAACGGCAAACAGTTACAGACGCTCTCAATCCATAATGCAGTTCCTGATGAGCAGGAGGCCTGCTGCTCACACCCGAATCAGTTGAGCACGCAGTGGCGCTGTCAGAGCCAGCTGCAGGTGCGCAGACGTACTTGAGACGGCACATTAACCAGCTATTTTATGATACTTCGCAATAGCAGACATCCACGCATTCTCCTGTCTTGTCGGTCTTGCTTTCGGGATTCGTCCATGTACAGGAGAATGTGGCACATCAATGAACAGCAGACCGCCCAGCACATTGGAACACAGGACAAATTGGATTCCGCGGGGCGACGCCACTGCCGCGGCCGCCGCCGCCCACGTGGGTGGTGTACGAACTGCGCTGCACGCCTGAGGCCAAGTCTTACGTTGGCGTCGCAAAACAGCCCCTCGCGCGCCGCGTAGCGCAGCACGCTGCAAATGCACGGGCAGCCAAGCCCACCAATGCCCGCCTGGCTGCCGCGATGCATGCCCATCCGCTTCCCGCGTGCTGGACAGTCACGTGCTTGGCAACCTTTCCCTCCGGGGCGGCTGCCGCCGCCTCCGAGGAGGCTGCGATCGCGCAGCGCGAAAGCCGCAAGCCCTCCAAGGGGTACAATGTGTTGACAGGGGCACCCGCACGCAGCGCTTTGTTCCATGTATGGGCTCGCAAGGGCAAGTTTGCGAAGCGCCGTGTCCCCAACTGATGCAAGTTGTGGGAGTGGGATCAACCAGCATGTTTATATTACGTACTCTCAAGACTCGTGCCGCTCAGCCAGCCGCCTGCTGCCTTGCACTCAGCATCCCAACATTACCACCACACAAGTAATGTGATCAGGCTCGCAGGCACATGACTGTAACAGTATGCGAAGTGCGGCAAAGTGCCGCGCATCAATGAACAGCAGACCGCCCAGCACATTGGGGGAAGGAACCGCCCCATGTCAGGGTGGTGGCAGATGACCCTCAGGCAGGCGCACGCCTCGTGAATCACCTCCGCCAGCAAGCCCCCGCCGTCGCCGCCCAGCCTGAAGCGCAGCACGCGCCGCGCCAGCGCAACCATGGCGGCCGGCACCTGATAATCATTCGTGCGGAGGGGTACGATTGCTCAGGGTGAGGCAAACCTGAACACCAGATGCAAGTCCTCGGGCAGGCCGGCAGAATCATTGATTGGTGGCCCGGATGGTGGACCTGAGGCGGCAGCGTGATGCGCTCACCGGCGACCCGCAACCCCGCAATCTTCCTTCACCGCGTGCGTGGCGGACAGGCGGGTGCGCTTGAACGTGGGCAGGCTCGCCGCGACAGCCACACACACCTGCGCTCCGCACGCCTCAACCACGCCCGCGTCTGTCCCCGCCGCGCCCGCCAGCGCCGCCGCGATGTCGCGCGCCGCGGCCAGCGGCGTGTTGACGCGGCCGAGCGCGTCCACCAAGGAGGATACTACGCAAGCCGGGGACTGCTGCATGTGCGCGACGCCGTCGGCCGACGTCGCAAACGCCTGCAGGCGCGTAGTGCACAAGCCCAGGCAAGGAGGGGTTGCAGCTGGATGCCATGACTTCTGTTGGGGACGAGGGTTACCCTGCCTGGCAGTTTCCCGTGCAAGCTCGCCCCGCGGACCTCCTGTGGCAGAACGTCCCGATGTTTTGTCACAAGTCAACTGGCGCTCTCCACGAGCAGAGTGCCTTCCAAACTCTCAAGAGTGCTCCCCTCCTGCACAGCCGCTCATGCCTGCATGCGACGACAAGGGATTACACAAGACAGCGCCAGGTGGCATGCACTGCCCTCACCCCGCTGCGCGCGTTGCCGTGGGTCCCAACGGCGCGCCAGGGGCGCGCGGCGGTGAGGGCTCATGGCATGTCCCAGGCGCCGCAGGATTCTACTGCGGCCTCACCGTCGCCGCCCCCCGTCAACAAGGGGCTCCGAGTGCCGCTGACAGCCCTGGAGGCGTCAGCGCACGTCGCTCGTGTGTGCGTCACCGGTGCTGGCGGCTATGTCGCCTCGGCAGTCGTGCAGAGGCTCCTTGCCTCAGGCCATACAGGTGAAGCCCCGGGCTGGCAGCTGCCTACATCGCATGCACTCATTTGAGTCCGGTTGCGCAGCCCTTGATGCAGGCGCGAGTGCGTCTGCATCATCTAGCACCCTGACATGCTCGTGCTGCAACCCCTTTCATATGACGGCGCTTATGACCACCAAATGGCCTCTTGTTTGCAACTCATTCAATGGCTGCCGCCCAGCCAATCTGTCTGCGCACGCCCGCCCCTCTCCCCCCCCCCCTAACCCCAGTCCATGCGGCGGTGCGGTCGCGCGCAAGGGCGGCGCACCTGCTGGCGCTGCCGGGGGCAGGGGAGCGGCTGCTGATGTTTGAGGGGTGCGACCTTACGAGGCCAGGCAGCTTCGACGCGGCTGTGGCTGGCTGTGATTACGTGATTCACATGGCCAGCCCCTTCAAGCTCGGCGTCAGGTGAATATGTGGAGGTCTCGATGGCTTGGCCGCCACAGCAGCGAGCCCCATTTTACTTCTGTCACGTTACTCAACGGGCGCACGGGTGTCAGGGTGCTGGATGCCCAGGGTGATGTCATCATTCGACAAGTGCGTTTGACATTTTGAGTGCCTTGTGATTGCAACCAAAACATCACCAAATTCGCGGCTGCCAGTAGCACCCAAGCAAACTGCCTGTCGTTCTGGCGACACAGCGGGCTGCATCACCGAAGATGGCAAGCTGCTGCGTTGCTACTGCTCAAACCGCGCCTGCCCGCAGCCAGGGTGATGCAAAGAAGGCCCTGTTACGGCCGGCTGTGGACGGCACACGGAACGTCCTGGGTGGGTAGGACGGCAGAATGGCCAGTGCCTGCCTGAGGCGGGTATTGCTGGTCATCAGCTCAGCAGCTTGTTATGGGGGAGGGGCTTTGCAGGTTTCAAGGCCATGGGAAATGAGGAATGAGCCGGGGATAAATCAAACATGGATGCTGCTCAGTCAATCGTCTCATGATTCCTGCATGGCAAACTTCTAAAGGAGCATTCACAGGGACCTGCTCTAGCCCTCGGCGTGCTGTTCTCGCAGTGACCGTTGCGTGACCCATCCGCGCGCGCACCCCGTTGTTGCCCGCAGGATCCGTCGCTCGCACGCCCAGTGTGCAGCGGGTGGTGCTGACATCATCTATTGCAGCCATCCTGGCCTTCCCACAGGCGGGGCGCGTCTACAGCGAGGATGACTGGTGGGCAAGGGATTCATTCTGGGCAAAAGGCCTGACGAGGGGCGCCTGGTGCAACAATTGGTGGGCGCATGCTGATTCCACAATCGCGGTGAATCATCGAGCTGTAATACAGCCGCTTTCCTTACAGCCACAAACGAACCCAACCTTTCTCAGCTGCTGCAGTGCATCTGCTGGGCAGTGCGGTGAACCCCAGTGATCCCCTCGGACCGTCAACCTGCTCCCAGGAACGACCAGTCCAGTGAGGCGCTGTTCCCCTATGAGCTGTCCAAGACGCTGGCAGAGCGAGCAGCTTGGGACTCGGCGCGCTCCCGGAGCAGGTCTGCTGTAAGCTCCGGCGGCCTGCAACGATTTTGTGCACGACACAGGGGCGGGATCCTGGCATGCCCTGCTGTCCCAGCGCCTCATCTTGCTGCTGGCCACACAGCTGCCCCTCCCCGCTCATGCTTGCTTGACCTGAGCATCCTGCAACACCTTGTCGTTTCCTAGCGACCCCGAACGTACATCTGCTGCGCATACAACCCCGCGCTCCTGGGGGATTGGCGCAGGTGGAGCCTGGTGGCGATCAACCCCGGCCTGGTGATGGGCCCGCCCCTGGGGCCGCAGCCAGAGGGCGAGTCCATCGCCCTCATGCGGCGCATCCTGCGCGGTGACCTCAGAGCAGGGTGAGCGCGGGAGGGCTACTGGGTTTTTAGAGAAGCCACACGCTGTTGTTTGCCGCCGCTGTGTTGCACAATGCCAACACCATTGTGCCTGGGGCACAATGGTGTTGATGGCTCACAGACCCCGACGATTGTGTCTTGCTCACAGTCCCATGTACTCATTTGATCAGTCATCAGGCTCCAGGCACTTCCGCACGTGCTGCCGTGAGTGCAAAGCCAGAGTAGACCGCCGTGCGCAAGCTGGAGTCTTGACGGCCTGGCCCCGGCCTCACACGTGCGCAAAACCCACATGCAGCTACCCCGCCTTCGAGCTCCGCACCGTCGACGTGCGCGATGTGGCCAAGGCCCACTGCGTCGCCATGGTCAAGGAGGACGCACACGGCAGGTGGGATCTTATAGTGTCAGCATGCAGGTGCTGGCGCCGCCTGGGGCCCTCCATTCCATGACAATGATGCGGTGGTCCCGGTGGTGGTAGCCTGCGGCTGGCGGAGACGGTGGTAACACTGGCTGGGTGGCGGGCGTGCACGCATGCATAGTGTACAGAGGAGACTGACATGCACCCACGCCAAGCCCGCGCCCTGCCCCCACTCTCAATCCTCTCAACAAGGTACCTTGTCGCACCCAACACCTTCACTTTCCCACGCGCAGCCGAGGTGCTGCGCGAGGGGCCGCTGGGCGCGCAGCTAGCGTGGCGGCTGCCGGGGCGGCGCCCCGCCCCGCGCTGGCTGCTGAGCCTCCTGGCTGACGTCGCTGGCATAGAGCGCTGCCGCCTCGAGTGAGCTGATGCGACTCTGGAATCCGCACAGAGCATTGGTTCGAAGCTACCTCGGATGCTCGTTCAGTTCCACGCAATGCACAGGGCGGTTTTATTAAGTCCAGAGCAGACCTTGATTGCACAAAGCTACTGGGTCATTGGTTTGAATACACTGCATCAATTGCACGATTAGACCCCAACACATTCTGCTTGTAGCAAATGCTGTTTGCCGGTGACCGCAACCCTCAGTGCGCAACCACGCAAGCCCTGCTGACTCATCCACCCGTGCCGCGCCTGGTGCTCCCTGACGAGTTGCTCCGCAGCACATCCTACGGCGTGTCCCTCCGCGTGGACTGCTCAAAGGCAGAGCGCGAGCTGGGGATGGACTGGCTGCCAGACACCGAGACGTACAATGACATGGCGGCGGCCATGCTGGAGATGGGCCTGGTCGGCGGCCCCTTTGGCCTTGGGCTGGGGCCCAGGAATGGCCACGGCTTGTGGGCTGCGGGGGCAGGCAAGATGGCGCCTGCAGGCGACGGGGGTGTGTCTGCACCAGCCAACGCAGGGGTAGCAGAAAGGACCACGGTGCGATAGAGACGGCCGCGGCGCACACGCAAGGTGCAAGAACTCCCTGCTGGCCGTTGGAGCTGGCAAGCAAGCATGGGGCTGGGCAGCAGCACACGGTGTTGGCGTGTGCAGAGCAAGGATCAAACATCACGAAAGACAGGCCTCCCGTTTTCAGGTGTTTGGTAGCTCGCATGGTTGGCTCGCGTAAGGCTATTAGACCAGCAGCTGCACGCACGTGCACGCGCCCACTGATGTGACAGTTGCACACAGCCAGGTAGTCGGTTGCCTTACAAATCGTGTGCCATTCATGATGAGAGTAACAGAGGCGCGGGGGGTCCTATCACCTGGGTGTTCTGACATTCAGCAGTCTTCAGGGAGCTGCAGCGCAGGGGGCGTGGTGCTGCTGGTTGCCAGGTGAGAGCCCACTGTGACCGCTCGTGTCCAGAATTGCACCACAGTCCGTAAACAAAGCATTCAAAATGTTTGCGATCACGCCAAGGTGAATCAGCAGAGCTTTGAAATATTAATTATGTCGGCAAAACGTCCCTCTCTTGCTGGTGGTGCACCAGCAGTTGTTGACGGGCTGCTGCTGGGTCACAGGCGTACCCCGACAGGCCAGGGCACTGACGGTATGGTATATACAGCCGGTGTCGCAACCACAGCAACTCTCATGTGCAATGCAGCCGTGGGGTTGTGACATGACTGCATCGAGCGGTGCTGCGGGCGACAAACTGCAGCTCTGCAGGTGATTGTCATTGTTGCTGACCTGCTGGTGGAGTGTCAGGCAAGAAATCAGAATGGCAGCCTGCCCTTGACGGATACCTGCAACGTGTCAGGATATAAAATAGCAGAGCTTCCGTGTATAAGAATGCAATAACTCACAGCTGGCGTACCGTATGAGCCACAACGGTGACAGCGCGGACTCCGGACACGGCTGCATGCACTCTTCGAGCCACCCCTCACGCTTGAAAGCGATCGTAACCTCCGGAGCTCTCGTAACAATTTTTGCGGCATGGGCAGCGGCGCGATTGAGCGCGGCGCCGGATAACGGTGGTGCAGCGCCTCCCATCGCTGCTGCTGTCGCTGCATCTCCCCAGCCAGGTGTGCTCCGGCACCTGATGCTGCTGCAGGGTGCTCGCATGGATGCTGACAGGGCCGTGCTGCTCAAGGGAGTCATTGCTTGACCGATACATTGTCGGCAGGGCGGGTCCGGCAGCAGCAGTCCGTCTGCTTGGACACCTGAATACCGTGTCCACTGGCGGCGGTGCGCGCGGGTGTGCTGTCCCGACCCCCTGGCCGGCTCTCTTCCTACCGTGGACGCTGCAGGCGATGTGATGGCTGTTGCTGATTTGCATGGGGATGTGGCCAAGGCCGCAGAGGCCCTGAGGTGCGCGCTGCCCGCTGGCCCCTGCGAGAAGTCCGGTCGCCCTGCCCCCCCTGCTTGATTCATGCTCGCTGTCCCCCTTTGTGGAGCAGAACATCCTATCCCGGCAAGGAGTGTTGAATGGCATGTGTGCAGTGTACACACAGACTGTTTGTGAGTACGGCAGCAGCTCTGCCAGGGCCATGAGCTGCTGTTGCCTGCCCAGACCGCAGCCACCACCACCCCTTCCTGCGGCCATGGTTTTTTCGACCGCAGGCTGCTGGGTGTGGTTGACGCGGGCTTGAAGTGGACCGCGCGCGGCGTGACCCTCGTGCAGGTGGGCTGGCCGCCAGCAGGCCAGTCTCAAGGGGCGCCTTCGCCCCCCACCAGGGCCTCACCTCTGCACGCAACACGCCCCTTGGCTTACCCGTGCACACAACACTCTGAAAATCTGAAACCCGCTGCAATTTCTCAAGAGACTCTGTGCACCCTCTCCCACGCGCCGCGCTCCTGGTAATCAAAGCTCGGCGACACTGTGGACCGCGGCCATGACAGCCTGGGGGTGGTGGAGCTGTTTGAGCGGCTGGCTGGGGAAGCGGTCGCCCATGGCAGCCGTGTGGTGGCCCTGCTGGGCAACCACTGCCTGATGAACCTCCAGGTGGGGGGGTGTTAAGTGCATGCATGTGTGGGTGGGTTCCTTTGTGGGGGAGGTTTTGGGCGAGTTGGATGTGGGACAAACGGGCTGGGGGTGGCAGTGTGTGTGTGTGTTCGCACGCGCGCGCGCATGTGTGTGTGTGTGAGTGTGTGTGTGTGTGTGCGTGCGTGTGTTTGTGTGCACACGCGTGTGCACATTTCTGGGTGAGAGCATGTGTGTGCTGTGTAGTCATGTCATGCCTGGATTGGCTGCAGGTTTGGGGCGTGAGGGGAAGTAAACCTGGTTCATGCGTACGGGCAGGGGCGGTGCCTGGGGAGGCCCTACCTGAGAGCCGAGGACAGAAGGAAAGAGTCCCATGCAGGGGCAAGGCTCCGGCATCTGAGTGTTGAGAGCATGCAGTGGCGTATTTTTGCAACGTCTGCAGGGGGAGGTGGCTGTAGGGCACAGGGAGGGGGCTGGGGCCCGGGCGGTGGGTCTGGCGGGCACCCCGGTTGAGCAGGCTGCACCACCACCGCTTGGCCCCCTCACCCCCCCCCCCCCAGGGTGACCTGCGTTATGTCAGCCCCCTGGAGCTCATGAGGCTCGGGGCAGCAGCGGCCGCAGAGGACGCCCACAGCGACGCGGGCAGCGGAAGTCGCGGGGACGCGCCCGGCGGCGGCTCGATGGATGGCGGTGATGGCGAGCAGCACGCTGCTCAGGCCGCCCCCCGCCACACGAGACCCCACCGCGGGGGCGCGGCGCGCTCGCCGCCGGCCGCCGGCGACCCCGAGGAGTGGCCGCACGCGCGGCGCGCGGCGGCCGCGGCGGCGGGGCTGGATGAGTGGCGGCGGAGGCTGGGGCGCGGGCAGCTGCTGGGGGATGCGCTGAGGGGCAGGGCGCTGGTGGCGGTGGAGGGGGAGGGCGCCTGCAAGAGCCTGTTCGTGCACGGAGGTGGGGGCGGCATTGAGGAAGGATAGGTCAGCCCGCTCCCTGCAAGTATACCTGCCATCACATCGTGGGGTCACTTGAAACCCTCGCGCGCTCTTGGCCTATCCAATTGAGGTGGCCGGCGTTGTGAACTCCGCCTCTTGCCCATCCATGTTGTGTCCCACGCCACGCTTGCTGGGGCCCCGCGGGCTGCGCGCCTGCAGGCCTGCTGCCGCGCAGCTTGAAGGAGCTGCTGCGTGCACTGGACGACTGGGAGGCGGACCAGCGCGAGGAGGGAGGTAGCGGAGGGCAGGAGCGGGCGGGGGCGGCAGCCGGGGCGGAAGCAGGGTCGCAGGGCGCCGCGACGGGGGCGCAGCGGCAGCTGCTGGGGGTGCAGCAGCAGCAGCAGCAGCAGCAGCAGCAGCAGCAGCAGCAGCAGCAGCAGCAGCAGCAGCACCTGCAGCAGGAGGAAGAGGCGGAGGCCCATAAGCAGCAGCCGCAGATGTCAGAGCAGCAGCAGGCACCCTTGCAACAGCAGCAGTCGCACGCAGAGGAGGCCCAGCAGCAGGCAGAGCAGCAGCAACAGGGCCACGAGGAGCAATCAGGTACAACACGACACCTGGCGAACAGCCCACAACAGCAGGCCGGCAGCGGCGAGCCGCAAGAAGCGGCCGCCCCCTCGTGGCACTTGACCCCCGGCCGCTTGCGGCGCCTGAACTCGGCGGTCGGCCAGCTGCTGGGCAGCTGCGTGGCCGGCAGCTGCGCGTTCTCGCAGCCCGGCGCCACCCCTGCAGAGCGGCGGCTGGCGCAGGCCGTGGTCGGTGCAGGGGGCCCGGTCTGGGGCCGCGACCTGGCGCTGGGCCCAGAGGCTCAGGTGTGCGACGCAGTGGACCGCCTCCTCGCGGCCGCAGGCGGCGCGGCGCGCGTCGTCGTCGGGCACACTGTGCAGCGCGGCGGCCGCGCGCGCGCGCGCTGCCGGGGCCGCGTGGTGCTGCTGGACACGGGGATGGCGTCAGAGATGGCGGACGCCCCCGCGGCCGGCTGGATCTGCGCGCACAGCGGCGGCGAGGGCGCCGGCAAGGGCGGCGATGGCGGCGGCGGGGGCGGCGGAGAAGGGGACGGCGCCGAGCAGGCGCGGGAGGGCAGGCCGCGGCCGCGCTCGGCAGTGCTGTATGCGGACGGCCGGGTGCAGGAGGTGTGAGGCCGGCGCACCGCGTTAGCACGGCTCCCCGCGTCGCGACGGGGCCGGGCCTTGGTTGTTGCTGCTCGACCGTCACTGTTTCCCTTGGCTTTGTGTTTGTTGTCGGCCGCTGAGGCGTCGGACGTCGCTGTACAGCTGCGCCCTTCTCATGCGCCGCGGTGTTGCTTGCTTTGACGCGGTGCAAAGCAACGCAGTTTCACGCGAGAACAAGTCATGGGGGGTCTTGCAACCACCTGCCGGTCGGCTGCGTGCCTGCCGCATGAAATCCCACACTACTTGTTCCGAGGCATGGCGGGCGTCGCCGCAGCGAAAGGGGCCAGGGGGCCCCTGCAGCGAGGCCAGCGGCACAATCACTTGCAGCGCAATGTGCCCGGCGTTCAAACTCCCAATGCTTATATAATCTGGCAATTTAAAAGCTCAGACATGTGTTTCGGTTTCTGGTTAATGCGGGGGGGGGGGGTGCACGCGTGTGGTGGCGTGGCAGTGCGACTGTCTGTAGTGGCAGCTTGTCTGACGCGCAGCCCGGACTCGCATTGAGAAGGAGCAGGCAGCAACGACAGCAGCCAGAGCGGCAGAGGCGGTGCTGGTGGTTTCGCTGTCTTCCATGCACAGTCTTTGCCCACGCCTCTCTTTTGCTGTACTGCAGCCAAAGTAGTGCCCGAAGGTTGAATGCTGCGTCTTTGCAGTAAAGGAGTTTGCTGGAGTGTCAAGGGTTTCACCTTCCAAACCGCGCCCGCATCAGTCAACATGGGCCGTGCGATGCACGTGCCGGCATGCAAGGGGCCCCGATGTGAATCATGGTTGCGTGGGGTGTGTTGGAGATGACATCGATGACTGATAGCCCGGGGAGCAGGCGGCTGCACCCGCAAGAGGACCGCCATCCGCCGCCTGCACTTGCACAGCCACGCCAGGCAGCGGTACGTGCGGTACGGGGCGCACGCGGGGGACCTACCCCTGCGGCTGCCGTGGCGGCGGTGATCCCGCTCAGCTTGTTTGTTTTCTCGGTGATCGATGACCCGCCTGTCCCGCATTCGCATCATCGTCACGGGCCCAGAAGTCCGACAGGGGGTGTACATCGTTGTAGCCCTACAAGTGCCTCGCAGCGCAAAGGCTGGCGGCTATTTGCGCACGTACTGTAGCGCTTCGTCCTGGAAGGATTGGAGGCGGCGGTCACCGGCGGTTGTGCGCGCTGTGCATACGCGCAACGCGTCCCCTCAGTATCCTGGATATAATATCATCGCAGTATATTTCATAGCCTGTTGCCGCACCGATATATGACGCACGCCCCCTCGCCGTTTGGTTCAGGGTGTCACCCGCGAGCCGCACCCTCATCACCCAAGCACCAGGCACAATCGACAGGGCTTCTGTGCTGGTCTGGTCAGCTGTGAGCGCGTCGTTACAAACCATTCGATACGAACAGACAGTTTTCGGGAAGAAGCAGCGCGGCAGGTGCGTGCAGGGCCGCGAGGCACACAGCACACCCCGCGGGTGGCTCCTAGACGAGGGAGTGTGGCGCTATAGAGGAATCTGTATCGAAGTATTATAACAGCAGAGGCGGAGCGCGGCAGGGACACTCGCTGGCGGAACAGTTATCCTTGCGCAAGCCCCAGTCCCACCCGGCGCTCAGGCCGGTTACAGTGTTCCTGCGTACCCATGCACACCATTTGATTGAATTTGTTTGCTTTTTCACCACAGGCACTCCAGCAGGGCCGACTTTGGCCGGCTCAGCGGTGAGCCGAGGGCAGGGCCCGCGGAGCGACAGCCTGGGAGCAAAGCAGGCTCCGTAGCAAGGCGCAAATGGACGGAAATCCGTCAGTAATCGTGTCATTGGGGCAGGAGATGGCTTTCGACGCGGCGGGGCCCGGTGGGGCCCCTGCCAGCCCGCCCGCATCGGACGGCAGCAGCGCCGCGTCGGCATTTGGCGGCGGGCTCTTCAGCATCAAGGGCCACTTCGACGGCGCGTGCAGCGTGTTCCTGACCGGCGCCACGGGCTACATCGGCTCGCTGGTCCTGGAGAAGCTCCTGCGCAGCACGAGCGTCGGGCGCGTGTACGTCCTCGTGCGGGCCCGCCGCGGCGCAGACCCGGCCGACCGCGTCGCGCGGCTGCTGCGCGGGCCGCTGTTCCACCTGATCAGCGAGCAGCAGGCCGCGCGCGTGACGGCGGTGGCGGGCGACATAATGCAGCCGGGGCTGGGGCTGGGGGCGGAGGACCAGGCTATGCTGGAGGAGGAGGTGGACACAGTCCTGCACTCGGCAGCGGGTGAGGCGCCGGCGGCCACACACCGGGGGCCGCGCATCCGCCGCCACGCGCCCTGCGGGCCGGCGTCGCGCTCGAGGGGTGGTTGGGGCGGCGGCGGGCGCGGCTCCCGGGCGCCGTGGCGGGGGAGATGCTCGTTTTGGGCTCATTACGGGCTGCACGCCGGGCCGTCAATTCGTCATCAGTCGTGACGTCGGCCCGCCCCATTTGCAGCCTTGCCAATTGCCGCTGCAGCACGCCGCCACCAGCCTCGCCTGGCAGGGGCGCCAGGCGGTTGCGAGGGGCCGCCGCTTTGCCCCACAAGGTTGGGGCCTCGACAGCTCAACTCGCCAGCCACGCCAGCCTCGCCATGCTAGCCGTGCGGCCCCGCTGCTCGGCACCACCACGCCTCCCGCCCTCACCCTCCCCCCACTCCGCACAAACAGACATCCGTCTGGAGGCGCCCATACAGGATACCCTCACAGCCAACTATCGCGGCACCCTGTCCATCGTGCGGCTGGCGGCGCGCATGCGGCGGCTGCGGTCGTTTGTCTACATATCGACCTGCTACTCCAACATGAACCGCCCCCGCGGCTCGCTGGTCGAGGAGAGGTGGGCCCCCGAAAACTTCTGGGAGGGCAAGGAATGCTGCTCCCCCAGCCTCCCATGAGGCAGGGGTTCTGGGCAGGGCTGCAGCAAGCAGCCCGGCGCGCGGGCATGCTGGCCGGCGAGTGAGCAGGGGGCGCCACAGCAGCATCTGGAGCGCCACAGCAACTGCGGAACCCGCATGCGCAGTCCGTGGCTCGGCGGGCCGGCCCTGGCCCCTCGGGCGCCACCACGGGGGATTGGCGGCCGATTCGACTCAAAACGCTGCACCGCCGCCGCCCCTCAGGCTGTACCCCTTGATGCTGGACGGCCGCGAATTCGATACGAGCTCCCTGGCGGAGGAGCTGCTGGCGCTGCCGGCAGCGGAGGCCAACGAGCGCGCGGCGGGGTACATCAGCCTGTGGGGCTTCCGCAATACGTACGCCTTTGGGAAGCACCTGGCTGAGAAGGTGGGCGCGGGGCCGGCGTTGGAGAGGGTGTGGGGCGTGGGGCGTGTCAGGTTTGGGTCTGGGTGAGGGCGAGGCTGTGACAGTGGGCGTAGGCAAGGGGGAGGGCATGGGTGTGAAAGTGGAGGTGCGGCGAATGGACGCCGTGATCAGGGGCGGGGTGTGGGTTCAAGAGGGTGTGCAAGGGGCCTGTGCGCTGGCCACGGCGGGGAGGCGGATGCGGCGCTCTGCGCCGGCAAGGCAAGGGCCAAACACACGCCGCTCGTAATAAGCAGTCGGCGCCGCAAGATGTCGCGCCCGTACTGCCGTGAAGCTCACTGGGAACGCAACGCGTCCCGCTGCGCCCCCAGGCGGTGGCGGCGCTGCAGCGGGAGCTGGACCTGCCGGTGGCCATTGTGCGGCCGTCGCTGGTCAGCGCCATCTCGGCGGAGCCCTATCCCGGCTACTCAGGTGGGCGCCTCGCCGCAGGGCGGCGCGGGGGGCGCTTTTGAGGGGCTCCAGAGGCGCTGGCCGCGCCTGGCGGATGCTGCATTGCCTCACGGCCCCGGCCACCCGGCAGTGTTGCCCCACCCTGGGTAGCAGGGTTTGTTGCAAGAGGGCGATGGCAGCCTGCAGGAGCCGCGCCGTAGCAACCCTGCACGCCGACGAGAGGAGCGCACAGCGCCCAGGCGGCGCCCACCGGCGCCCTAGCTGACCCTCCCTTGACGTCTTCCAAACCGCGCATTTTGGGTCGTGTGCCGCCTCACCAGGTAACTATGCGGGGCCCGTGGGCATGGCGGCCGCCTACTTTACCGGTTTCCACGACGACCAGCCAGAGGCGGTCGCCTCGGACGCGTCAGCGATCTGGGACATCGTGCCCGGTGAGCCGCACGCGGCGAACGGGGGGCCGGCACTGCCCCAGACGGGTGGCAAGGTCTGCGGGGCAGCGCCCGTAACAAGCCCTCCGCCGTTGTGTGTCGCGTGTTGAGCTGCAGGACTGGCACAGGCGCCCCTGCTGACCGTCGTGCGCCGCACCCTCCCCCTTGCAGGCGATGTGTGCGTCCAGGCCATCATCGCAGCGGCCGCCGCCGTCGCCAGCGCCGCCGCGCGCGCCCACATCTGCGCGCCGCGCGAGGAGTGCGTCGGGCGCGCGCCGCAGCCGCCGCCGCTGATGGTGATCCAGATCGCCACGAGCACCACCTACCCCGTGACCACCGCAAAGCTCTTCAACGACACGGGTGAGGCGCCGGTCTTGGCTCATTGTGGCCATGCGTGGCGGCTTGTCCTGCGGGCCCGGGTGATGCCTTGGGCGACGCTGCTGGCATGACAGCGACTCCAGCGCGGGCGAAGGCGGCGCTCGGCGTGCGATGCACACACCCCGGCAGACATACTTGGCCTGCGCACACATTGACGGCCATTCCCACCCCCATCCCACCGCTGCGGCCTTGCCCGCGCCCCACAGTGATCTTCTGCGCGGCGTTCCGGCGGCCGTTCACGCTGGCGCTCGGCCGCGCGCGCGGCATGCACCCGGCGCAGCTGTACAGCGACGAGGCATGCCTCAAAATAAAGCGGGTGGCGGCGTCCAGGGTGCGGCCGCTGGTGTGGATGCTCAGGTGCGGCCCCTCGCGTTGCCGATCTTGACTTCTGTTTGACCGGGGTGTGCCCGGCTACCATCGTCTTTGTGTGGACTTCGCAGTATGATCCAGGAAAGGTTCACCGATTTGGGCCAGTCATTCTGACCAGCTGTTGCGCCCGGCCCTCATTCGCCCCCTCTTGACAGGAAAATGGGTGGCAAGAGCGGCAAGAAGATGGCGTCGCTGCTGTCTGTTGGCATGCGCACGTTTGAGACAATCAACACTAAGAAGTACGACCTGGACATGTTCTTCGACGCAGCCAACCTGCTGCGGCTCGAGGTGGGGCCCACGCGCGACGCGCGGCCCGCCAACGCCGGCGGCGGTGTGCCAAGGGGTGGGGCTCTTGAGATGTTGGGACGCGCTGCTCTCTCAACGCTACCACTCTACGGACGCGGCGGCTTGTTCCTCGCTCGCCAGAACCGCCGCGTCGCGCCACGTGCCGGCAAAGCAAGCCCGGGCTCTCAAACACCCGCTGTGTGGTCACCGCCCGATCCCCCAGGCGGCGCTGGCCCCAGAGGAGCACTCGGAGTTCCAGATCACGTGGCGCGCCCCGCCCCACGAGCGCTTCATGCCCGCCACCGCCGCCGCCGGCGCCGACGGCGGCCGCGCCGCCGCCGCCATCATCGCCAACGGCGGCGCCCCCGCGCCGGGCGAGGGCCCCGCGCGCGCGCCGCCTTCGCCGGGCGCGCCGGCGGTGCGCTCTGACAGCTCAGCGGCCTCGTCCTCTGCGGCGTGCCCGCGGTGGGACAGCGACGGCGCGAGCGACGACGAGGCGGCGCACAGCGGCAGCAACAGCGGCGGTGGCGGCGGCGGCGGCGCGCTGGCCAAGGCGCTGGGCAAGCTGGCCCTGGCCGATGGCGCGAGCGACGCCGCGTCGGGCGCGGGCAGCAAGGCGAGCAGCTCGGCCATCGCGGCGCGGCACGGCGGCGCGGACGGCGCGGGCGCGGCGCGCGAGTGCGACTGGACCACGTTTGACTACAACGCGTTTGCCTACCTCTACAAGTCCCTGTTTGGGCGGCAGCTGCCTTGCCAGTCCAAGATCGGCCGCCGGAAGCTGCACAAGCTGATGCCGTTCTTCACGCCAGAGGAGGTCGAGGCGTCGCGCCGCGTGCGCCACACCTTCTCCATCATACGCGCGGGCGGCAGCAGCTGAGGCGGCACGACAAACGGCGCCAGCGGCGGCGGCGGCGGCGGCGGCGCGGAAGCGCACGCACGCCTCTGAAGGAGCCGGCGGGCTCCGCCTCTACTTGCGGCGGGCGCGTCTGGGCGCGGCGGGCACGCGTCCTGCGCAGCACCCAGCCCTGCGCCGCGAGGAGAACGACGCGGCCGCCGCCCGCGGGCTCTTCCGCAGGGGAATTCATGTTTGTTTTGCATCGCCCGCCACGCCATGTGGCAGAGCATGCACGTGTTCTTCAGCAGTGTGTGTTGGTGTCAACAGGGCGGAACCTCACGCCTGCGCAGTATGTGCACCGCGCCAACGCGCCCACCAAGTTTTTGTGCGCACCGGGGTGCGAAGCCGCTCCGCCGGTGCAGGCAGCCAGCCCGGGCGCCGCATCCGCCACCCCCCGCGGGCCCGATGCCGCCCCGCCCCGCCCTGAAAGCCCCATGTCCGGCGCCTGGCTAAGGCTAGCGGTCTGTGCCGTTGAGCCCGCCGCGCCGCGCCGTTGCCGCAGCGGCGGGGGAGTATGGGACCCGGCAGGACGGGCAGCGAGCAAGCACTCCTCAAGCGCCTGCGGAGCGGCCCGCAAGCCAAGGCCACCCGGGGCGCTGGGCCGGGTCTGTCCAGCAGCGGAGGCGGAGGCGCAACCCCGTCGCCGCCGCTGCCTGCCCCGCAAAACCGGGCCCCTGACTCCATATTCGGCGGCGTCATTGGCTTGCCCGAGTTTGTGCCGGCGGGCGCGGCGCTGTTGCCGGGGCGGGCGGTGCTTAGGCGGCCCCGCCCTTGTGCACCTGCAAAAAGCATGTGCGCTGCGGCCCCCCGCCAGCCCCGGCGGCTCTGGGCGTGCCTCCGCTGCGAGCCCCTTATGAACGACGCGACCCGCATTCGGGCTCAAAACGAAGAGTGTCGCCGTAATGCCGCAAACATTGCTTTGACCGGGGCGGGGCGCGATTGCGGGCCGGCCATACCCGGGCTTTGTTTCGAGTCGCCCTACATGTCGCTTGCGCCCCCATTTGCGGGTGAATGCAGTGGGCCACACCGCGCGGCCCTGCGGGGCGCGCAGCCGGCGCTGCTCTTCACAGCTGCGCGGGCTGGAGGCCCCTCCCGCTCCCCCGCCCCGCCCTGGCCCCCCGTGCTGGGGCCGAGCTTCGCGACGGGCCCTTCCGACAGGACAGTGGGCGCACTGCACGCGCGCCAAGGACGAGGCGCACGCGGCTGCACGGCTTACACCCTCCCATCCCCCCTTGACTAACCACGACTCCGGAACCCCCAGTATAGGCACTCCCACCGCGCCTGCAAGAATGCTTTGTCCCTTGTGTGTGTCTTCCCTTCCCCTGCTGGTCTGGCTTGGTGCAAAGGGCTCCCTTGGGGCCCCGGGCCCCCTGCTTTCACACGCCCCCTGTGAGGCGGGCGAATGTGCACCCCTGCGGGTAGAAGATCGATTTCATGGCTCAGAGCAGAGCGAGGGGCGCGGCCCCCCACCGGCGGCCGGGGAGGCATCAAGCAGGCGGGTCGCGCGTGTCACAGGACGCACCACCGCATTTCCCGGGGCCATTTGCTCGCGCGGCAACACACGGCACGTGCACCAGAAACGCAGCTTTTGCCGCCCCCCTCTTCCCTCCCGTCGTCCTGTCATGCCGCCCCCTCAAGCCGCCCGCGCTGCCGGGTGCCCATGCACAGAGGAACCGCCCCGCCATGCCATGCTGCGATGGCGGCGCTGTGCGCACTCAATAACGAGAACAATCGTAAAACACTGTGTAAGCAGCATTTGATGTCATTCAGCGCCGCGGATGAGCACTGTGGGCAGAGCACAGGGGACAGGGCGGATGCGTGCAGCAGGCGAGCAAGGGGCAGCAGGCTGCCAGCGCTTCTCCACCAGAGCAGCGATTCAATTTGCAAAGCACGCAACGCCCGGACCAAGATGAACATGGCAAGCAGGGCTATGCTTGAGGGGAGGCGATGAGGGAGTGGAATGATGAGCAGGCGTTATGGATGGCCGCGGCAGCAAACCGCCACACTGAGTACGCGACACGCAGTCAACCCCGCTTGCAGCCGGGAATGTACACACACTCTCACACGTCTCTTTAGGCTGATTGAGTGGGGGGGAGGCACCGCCCCTCAGGCGGGCCGCGGCGCGTCACCACGTGCACCTCCAGCTGTCGTCACACGAATCCGCAGGGTGGCAGGTGCCGCTCGCGGTCCGCGCCGGCCCCGCGGCCCTGCGCCCTGCCGCCTGTTCGGCGCCGCTGGCCGCCCGCGGCTACTGGCAGTGTGGAGGGAAGCCCTGCGGCTTGGGCCCCAGCCTCTGCAGCGTCTGCCGGCTTGACCGCGTTGACCAGGGGAAGCTGGTTGGCTCCGCTCGCTGCGGGCTGCTTCCGCTGCTCCCCCTGCTGCTGTTCCCATCGCTGCTGCTGCTCCCGTTGCTGTTGCTCCCGCTGCTGCTGCTCCCGCTGCTGCTGCTCCCGCTGCTGCTGCTCGTTTGCAAGCCGTTTCCTGGACGCCTCCTCTGTCGCCGCCGCTCGTTCCGCCTCTGCGGCTGCCGCCCCCGCATCAGCCGCAGCGCGCGCCGCGCCCGAGTCGGCGCGCAGGCGCGCCAGCTCAGCGAGCATGAGCGCGTAGTCGTCGGTCGCCTGCTTCAGCGCCCCCTCGAGCCGGCTCATCCGCCGGGCCGCGTCCGCGCCCTCCGCCGCGAGCCGCGCGGCTTCCCGGCCCTGCGCCGCGGCCTCGTCCTCGGCGCGCGCCCTCAAGGCGGCCGCCTCGCCGCGCGCGGCGCCCAGTTCGGCCTCGAGCGCCTCGCAGCGCCTTGTCAGCACGGCCTGCTGCTTCTGCGCCGCCCGCAGGGCGAGCTGCATCTGGTATGTTTCCTCGGCGGCCGCCTCCAACGCAGCGTCCGCGGTGGCCTGCCGCCGCGCCAGCTGCGCCTGATCGCAATCCTCACATCCGGCCCCGGCGGCGCCGGCCGCGCTGCAATCGGTGGCGGTGGCGGCGTCGGCGCACCGCCCCGCCGCAGGCGCGTCGGCGCGCGCCTGCTCGTCCTCCTGCGCCGCCACGGGTCCCTTGGCCCCGGCTGGTGGGGTCGCGCAAAGCGCCTGCTGCTCCTGCAAAGCCAACGCAGGCAGTGCCGTCTGTGCGCCCACATCGCTGCGTGCGCCGTCGCCCTGGGATGCCCTGACCGCGCCCAGCCGCTCAGCTCTGGCCGCCTGGGCCTCAGCGGCGTCGAGCCGGCGCTCAGCGTTGTGCAGGCGCCCGCTCAGCGCCGCCACGCCCGCCGCCACGCCCGCCGCCGCGCCCGCCCCGCCTTCTCGCGCGACGGCCGCCGCCGCCGCGGCCGCCGCGACCGCCGCGGCCTCCTCCAGGCGCGCCCAGTCAGCGTACGCCGCCGCCGCCGCCCCGTGCGAGCCGGCCGCCGGCCGGGCCGCTCGAGGCTCCCCACCTCCAGCCGCGGACCCTTCCACGACACCTGAGGTAACGCGCCGCACGGACGCAGGCCGCGCCCGGGCGGCCGCCGCTGCCTGCGCTGCCTCCAGCTCCTGAGCGAGGGCCGCCGCCGCCCCCTCGACTTCCGCGAGCCGCGCCCGTAGCTGCGCGGCTTCGCCCTCTGCGGCCTCAGCCCGCGCCATCAGCGCCGCAGCGTCCCGCGCGGCCGCGTCCCGGCCGGCAGCATCCGCCTCCTCCCGCCGCCGCCGCTCGTCGTCGTCCGCCAGCCGCCGCAGCCGGGCCTGCTCCTCCTGCTGCCGCTGCTGCTCCTCCTGCTGCTGCTGCTCCTCCTGTTGCTGCCGCCGCTGCTCCTCCTGCTGCTGCCGCTGCTCTTCTTGCTGCCGCCGCTTTTCCTCCTGCTGCTGCAGCTGCTGCTCCTGCCTCTCCACCTGCTCCCTCTCGTGCGCCCTCCACTGCTCCTCCAGCGCCGCTGCGTGCGCCTCCCCCAGCCGCCAGACCTCCTCCTCCGCCCGCCGCCGCTCCTCGCCGACACGCGCCTCGCCCTCCGCCGCGCGCCGCCTGAGCGAGCTGACCTGACGTTTCAGCGCCGCGACGCCGTCCCGCGCCTCCAACGCGCCGCGTGCCGCGGCCGCCGCCTCCTCTGCAGCGGCCTCGGCCCGGCGCACCGCCTCTGCTCTCTCGGACTTTGCCACCAAGCACCGCGCTTCAGCCGCGCTCGCCGCCGCCTCCGCGGCGCCCAGCCGCTCCGCCAGCTCGGCGCCCCTCCCCTCGCTCTCAGCAAGCGCGCCCCGTGCTGCCTCGAGCGCCGCGGCGGCCGCTTGCGCGCCGCCGTCGGCGTCCTGCGCCGCGGCGCGCGCCGCCTCGAGCGCCGCCTCCAGATCAGCGACGCGCGCCTCCAGCTGCTTCGACCCGGCCAGCAGCGCGCGCGCGCGGCCCGACAGCTGCCGCCGCGCTGCCCGCAGCCGGTCGTGCTCCCCCTGGAGCTCCCGCAGCGCCGCCGCCTCGGCCTCGCGGCCGCCGGCGGCTGCCGCGGCCCGCGCCTCCGCTGCAGCGGCCTCCGCTGCAGCTGCCTCCAGCTGGGCGGACAGCCGCTCCCGCTGCTCCTCCGCGGAAGCTTGCGCCGCCGCCAGCTCGCCGCGCGCGTCTGCCGCCGCCGCCTCAGCTGCCGCGGCACGCGCCTCCGCCGCACGTTGTGCCGCGCCGCTCTCCTCCAGCTTCGCGGCCAGCGCCGCTTCGCGCGCGGCGGCCGAGGCGGCGTCCGCCGCCCCTGCGGCCGCCGCGTCGTCAGCGCGCCGCCGCAGCGCGGCGGCCTGGTTGCCGGCCTGCGCCAGGGCGGCCCTCGCTTCCTCCAACTGCTGCGCCTGGGCCTGCACCTTGGCGGTCGCCTCCCTCAGCGCCTCCTCCGCCCTGCCGCGCGCCGCAGCCTCCGCGCCTGCCGCCCCGCGCCCCTCCTCTCTAACCGCCTGGATCTGCCCCTCCAGCTCCCGCTGCCCCGCCAACGCCCGCGCCAGCGCCTCCCCGGCCCGCGCCCGCTCGGCCGCCGCTGCGCCCTCGGCCGCCGACAGCGCCGCGGCGGCCGCCTCCCGGCGCTGCATCTCAGCACCAAGCCGCTCTTCCAACTGCTCTGCCTTCTCCTCCGCATCGGCCAGCCGCTGCTCGAGCTCAGCCCTCTGCTGTGCCGCTGCTGCCAGCCGCACGTTTCCCTCCTCCAACGCGTCCGCGTGCCGCGACTCCAGCTCCCGCCCCCGCGCCGCCGCTCCCGCCGCCGCCTCGCGCGCGGCGGACGCGGCCGCCGCCGCCTCCCTTCGCTGCTCCGAGAGCGCCGCCTCCCCCTCCCGCGCCGCGGCCTCCCGCGCCGCCTCCGCCTCGGCCGCCCTCGCCGCCAGCGCCCGCCCCCGCTCCTCCAGAGCCGCGGCCGCCGCCTCCGCCCCGGCCGCACGGCGCGCCGCCGCGGCCAGCTGCCGCTCGGCGGCCTCTGCGCGGGCGGCGTCGGCCGCGGCGTCGGCGCGCGCGGCCGCCAGCTGCTGCTGCGTCGCGGCCAGCTCGCGTGACAACACGGCGCCCTGCAGCGCCGTCAGAATTGCTGAGGCTCGTCAAGCTGCAGGCACAGGGCGCTGCATCTGAGCCGTCGCGCCACAATGCACCTCACCGGCCCCGCCCCAAGCCCCGGCTGGGGGTGTGGCGGCGCCCCCGCCCGCACCACCGCATACGACTCCCGCGGCGCACCCGTCCGGGCGCGCGCGGCCAGGGTCGCACCTTATCCCGCGCCTCCTGCCACGCGCCCTGCGCGGCAAACACCTTGATGCCGCCCGCCCCGCCGGCCCAGACGCCCCACCCGGCCGGCGCCAGCCACTTCACAAAGCCCTCCTGCTCGGGCAGCGCGAACAGCGGCGCGCCCGTGGCGGCGTCGGCAATTGCGATGGCGCGCTCGCTGGCGGTCCAAACCTGCGGCGGCGGGGGCGGCCGGCAGAGGCGTGGGCACGCGTGGGCGGCTTGCGACATTGTGTTTGATGAGATGCGGGCCCTGCATCACGCACCCATCCATCCTCCTGGATAGCCCCCAAAGTCACGCAATGACTCCTCCTTTCCTAACCCGGCATCAAGCACCCATCCATTCCAAAAAGCCGGTGGCGCCGGTAGCCCTGTCAGGGACGCTGCTTGCGCCGCGCCGGTAGCCCTGTCAAGGGCGCTCCTTGCGGCGCCCCGAGCGCGCGCCCCGCCGGCTCGCCTGCCCGCCGACACGTGCCATCGCCTGCACGGGCCCCGTGTGGACGCGGCAGCTGCCCAGCAGCTGCGCGGTGGTCGGGTGGTACATCAGCACGCGGCCGTCGTCGCAGCCCACCCACACCGCCGCGGCCGCGGCAGGCGCGGCCGGCGCCCCCTGCATGGCGCGCTGCGGTGCTTCGACAAGCAACATGCTGCGGATGCCTGCGGGCACACGACGATCGACACGCGGGCAGCCCAAACTTTTACATCCGAGCACACTCGACAATGTGGATGTAGCGTTCGTGCAGGAGCGTTTCGCTGCACAGCCCATCTCCGCCGCCGCAGCGACCGACGAGAGCAGGGCACTTATGCCGCCTGACTCACGCCAGCACGGCCGCCCATGCGTGCGCACCTCTTTGGCCCTCAGGCTTCACAAACTGCCATCCCTGCTCGAGCCGTCCGCCGCCATCCTGGTCGCGCCACATGCTGAGCGCGCCGTCCCCCGCGCCGCACCACACTGCGCCGCCGCGCGCCGGCGCTGCGTCCGGCACCGGCAGCAGGCACTGCACCGGGGCGTGGTTGTGACCGCTGCTGGAGATGGGGTCTCCGCCGCGCGTCCAGCTCTTGACCTGCGGCGGACACGTGTCACGGACTTGATTGCCCCGCTCGCACGTACCCCACAGCAACAGCAACATAAACCTCTCAGCGAATTGCATGCTCATGGTCATGTTTGCTGCAGCAACGGCATCTGCTGCTGCTGCTGCGGCTGCTGCTGCTGCTGCTGCTGCTGCTGCTGCTGCTGCTGCTGCTGCTGCTGCTGCTGCTGCTGCTGCTGCTGCTGCTGCTGCTGCTGCTGCTGCTGTTGCTGCCTGCTAGCATCTGCCAATTCCGCCTGCCACTGCTGCCATCGGCTCCTGCTGCCGCCTGGATTGTGCTCTGGTTTCTCTGACTATCAGGCGGCCCCTTGCCTTGGCGCGAGCCCGGGGGCAGCGCACCGCTGCGCCCCTGCGCCGCAGAGCGCGCCGCACCTGGAAGTCCGCCGCGCCAGACAGCACGTACCCGCCACGGATGCCTGGCGCCAGCGCGGAGACCTCGCCCGTGTGCATGGGGAACACCTTCCGGGCCAATCGCGGAAGCGTGTGTGCGGGGTACGGCTGCTTCGTTAGGCTGCGCGGCAGCTCAAGGTGCGGCACGGCGTGCAGTGTTGTCAAACCTGCCTGTCAGCAACGGCGGTGTGTCACTGTGAAAAGGTCGCATGCTCCGGTCTGAGTGACGCACCCACCTTCCGCAGAACTGCCCCGTCGTCCAGGCGGGTGATGCTCCCGCCGCCGCTGCCGTCGCAGGCCCAAAGCAGCGCGGCGCCCCCCTCGCTGCCGCTGCCATGAGCGACAACCGCCATCGCATGCACGAGCGGCTTGGCGCCGTCGGACCCCTGCAGCTCCCCATACCTGTGCAGGCGTTTGCATGCGCATGGATGCATGTCCAGCTGACCACCCAAGGTATGCCCGCATAGATGGATTGGTGCTCGCACGTGCAGGTTGTGCGGGGTGTGTGCAAGCAGGGATGAGTCGCAAGCAATTGACCAGGTCACGCGCTCGAACGTCCGCGCCTGCCATCAGAAGTGTCAAAGAACCAGATGCCTTTGCGGCTTGAGAAGAACAGACGGTCCCCGTGTAGCACGCTGGCTTTGACCTGGCCCACATCAGCCGCGCCAAAGGCGTGAACCACTCCCCACTCGAGCGCTCCTGACTCGAGATCCGTGCTTCGTGAAATCTCCTGCCGGCGAAGGGGCCGCGCTACAAGTGACATTTCACATGCAGATCACATGATGCTGTTTCGATATAGGTGAGGCAAGATGGTTGTTACAATAGGATTTTTGATGCAATCCAATTGGTGCTGCAGGCTGCCTCACCTATACACGCCGTCAGCACCCGTCACCTGTCTCCTGTCACACCTCTGGACTGCAGGACACTGGAGGGGCCTGGCGGCAAACACTAGAAGTTACCACCACCAGCTGATGTGATTGTACATGTGTATAATCTAGTCAATTGACTCGATTGCGAAGAGGCATGGAGTTCCAGGTGTCAGCCGGGGTGAGGATGAGAGGAGGCTGGAGCGATGGGCCTCATGGGAACATTGCTCCATGTCAAACGGACCGCAAGAAAGCAGCACAGAATCGCGATATGAACATGAATTGACGTGGACGGCTGTCCAAGAAAGGCGGTCATAAATATATTATGTGCCAGTGGGTTGGCCTGGGTGCGCGTGTGGTCTGGTGGAGGGCACAGGCAAGCGTGATGTGGGGCGTGCTCTAACAATCACTCAGCTGCCATTTTGTTGCAGCCCCGAGCACTGCGTGCCATTCCTCTGCCATCTCCTTTTTCAATCTTCAGGTATCCTAGCCATGCGCGGTCCCATACCTCGTCAGTCATACGGATCTACGTGCCACCAGTTTGTGCTGCATTGACCTGACGCTGCACACGCAACCTGCATTGATAGGCCGCAACGGCACCAGATGTGACTCTAAAGGGGAAATGGTGAAATGCATTGAGGTTTCAGGGGGCAACAGAGGCCCTTTGTACTCAAAGCCAGGGAGTGCATCGGATAGCTTATCAGGCAATTCCAACGGTTGGCAGGCCCATACATGCGAAGCAAGCGCGGCGCACAGCTTTGCACTCTTACAGCCTTGTTGCAAGATCAAGGCGGCAGACACACACTGCAAGTTTCAAAACTTCAATCACAATACCCAATGGTTTCGCAAAGGGTCCGAGTGGTCCCAGACGCTGGCGAAATGCAGACTGCAGCCACTGCATCGCAGGTAGCAACCTCCAGCCTCGCCTTGTGACATCAGGGGCACAATATTGTAGCAACGTGCATGGCTGGCGACGCTTGCAAGTCCTGAGGCCAAGTATCAGCAGCGACCCGCTGCAGGTGGGGCACGCGTTGACCCCAAATCATGACACAGCACGTTCCGACCGGGTGTCCTGGTCAGCGCCGCCCGCACATGGCACCCTGCCGCTCTGCGTTGGAGGCGCAAAAAGAACCATTTGTGCTATACGTGGCGATATTGAGAAGTGGGCGGCGAAGTTGCATAGCCTCACACTCACACCCGCGTCTACGGAGGAGAGACAGCAGTTATCTGCAACACGCGCATGCCGACAACTCACATCATCGACAAAAGCGCGCTAAACACCGCGTATTTCCGTTGCCTTGGATCGCAGACAATTTGTTCCGCAAAGACTAGCGGAAGAACAGGCCACCACCATCACCACCATTTCCCATGCATCACGCGTGTAAGCACGGGGCACAGCGCGCCCGCTGCAGCCCGACTAGCACGGCTCTTGGGGCCCCGAGCTTCCACACCGCTCGGCGGACCGCACCGGGGGGCGCCGCTCGCGCTGGCGCAGACGACAGGCGTGTGTTCATGCTTGAGGACCACCGCAGCTCCTACGAGCTCACAATGGATGATATCAGGTGCGGCCCCACGCAAAAACAGCGGGCGCTGCGCTCTCCGTCTTACCTCGGGGTGCACAAAGCCGCGGTGTGCGTGGCGCGAAGCCGCCCTCCCGAGCTGCCCTTCAGCACCCTGCTCGACCCAACCCGTGCCCAAACCCCATGCCGCACCGCTCCCACTCCTCTTCACGTGTGACAGGGATGCCTATGACGTCTGCTCCATGATCCCGGCCCCGAACGAGCGCGCGGCATGCTACTCGTGCTACGGACTGGACGGCAGCCGCATGGCCGATTACTACGACCACGTCACCGCCCTCGAGAGCGCACTCGCGGCCGCACCCGCGGCTGCAAGGCCCGCCGGCGCGGCGCAGCGAGATGGCTGCGCCTCTGTTACTGCCTCCATGGCGGAGTGATTTGCTGCGTCCTCTTGCTGAATGGCTGAGGGGCCTCGGTAATGTGCGCCGCGGAACTCATTGCAGAGTGACCGCTGCGGGCGAACGAGACAGCGGCGCCCTCTGAGTGAGAATTTCTTTGAAGATGAGACTTGCCTGATGATACATACGCTGTTTTCCATGGCAACCCACGCGCGCCCCGCGCGGCCATCGCGCGTCTGCACTCCACCGCTGACTGACCTGCTCCTTATGTGCGCGGCGCCGCGGCGCCGCCAGTGTCGGCGCAAGATATCGAGGTGAATTACTCTGCATCAAGGGGTGCTGCAAACTAGGCATCGTGCCGGCCCTGTCAAGCCGCAGGTGGCGCGCAACCTGGCTGTCTGCAAAATGAGCGGCTGGCATGCATGTTTTCAAAGCAGGCGCGTTTGTGACTCGTGGCGCGCTTTGGACGGGGCGCGCTGCGGCCGCCGTGCACTTGGGACGGCAAACGCGTTGGGACGCGTTGTTGGCCGCTCCCACGCCTGTACCTACCACCCTGTTTGCCCCCCGGTGTGTTGTGTGCGTAAGGCTTGCACACGCACACAGGTGCGACTCCTGCGCCAGGCTGGCTCCACCACCCTCCTACTCATCTGACACGCATGGGCATGTTGTCAGCCTTTCTCTGCCCCCATGCGCAACCCGATGCACACCTCCACCCTCGTGGTGAAGTCATGACCTTTCATGGACCTTCTGCAGCCGTGTTTTCACATCTTCGCTGTTTCTGATTTCCTCTTGTACTTGCCTGCTGATGTGCCTCTGGATGTCGTCCCCTGTTGCCCCAATCGCAAGCTGCACAGCGAGAAAGCAGTAGATTGTGCCTGCTGCAAGTGTTGCAGCATCTGTGCTGCAAAAGTGCGAGCCGTCTACCTTGGAAGCGCGTCGCGACGGCTGTGGGTGCCCTCCGCCGACAGAGGTGCTGTTGTTGCAGCAGCTCACTTGGTCGTGTCTGTCTGTGCTTGGCGCCTGTACACAACTCGGTTTCTAGTTGAGGTGGGTCCCATCGTCTGGTGGGGTCCGGTTGAGAGAAGTTGCAAGCTTCCGATCCTTGCAGCACTCTGAACAGCAATTCCTGTCGTGCGTGCTTACATAAACCATGTGTAGCACATCTGCCCCACCCGGCGGCACCCTCAACAGGCACAAGTGCTGCCGACTAATCGCCTGACAAACGACCACAAACTCAGGTTTCCCCTTCCTGGTTAGCTGTCCGTTCTTTCTGCTGATCTGCCGCACCACTTTGTAAGAGAGGCCCCCTGATGCACAACCTGGTGCACAACTGGTCTGGAAGGATGGAAGCAGTTTTGTTGTTGGGGCGGGCTCCAATGCAGTGGCATCGTCTGCTGGCAAAGGTGGACGCATGCCTTTGCTGGCCGCCAGTGATGTGCCTGAATTTGTGACAGCGGGCGGATCGAGGCGCGCGTGTGCGAAAGGGGACGACGACAACAGGCAGGCCTGGTGGTGGCAAGCCAAGGTTCCTGACCGGCCCGATTGGTACGCTCAATTCACCGCGCCTTCTTCCTTCTTTGACACAACTGACGCTCCTGCCGCTTGGCCTATTCGCTTGCATGCATGCATGTGGCTCGCCTTGTCGCCGCTGCCGTGGGGGTTGCAGCAGCCATCGTGGCTGAAGCAGCCCCTTTGCGCCGCCACCTGCCGCGGTGCCGCCACGGGCTCCCGTGGCCGTGTCTTGATAAACCCTGCCAGTGCACGCAGCGATGCATCTGACTCCTGCCGGGGTTCCTGCCCCAGCTGCGGCTGAGTGACCCAGCGCGGGTGAGCTTGCGAGCAACCCCAGCACACGTCGCTCGTGCTGGGTTGGGGTTGTGTGACGTGCAGAACGGGTTGTTTGAGAAATAAGAAGAATGTGGTGATTATTTAGTGCAAACTAGCGGGCAACGGTATCGCCAGTGCCGCGCATGGATCGCCCAATGATGCGTCCGTCCATGGCCGGGCGACGCACGGCGACCCACCCTGCGCACGAGCGGGGGCGCAATTCCTTTCTGACTCCTGGTGCCGTGCACGTGCGTGGAGTGCCGTCATTGTGATGAAATGCTTTCTTCATGGCCGCATAAATTTGCAGCACAGAAGATGACCCAGCCATTGACGCGGCACGCGGGGACTCTGATACGGGGGTGCATCCAAGGCACTTTGCAATCACATTTGGAAGCCCTCTTTGGCTGGTAGTAGGCGTGAGGTTTGCCTTAGCTGCGTTGGCTGGACCCTCGACTCGGTGATCCCATTTGGCCTGCACTGTCCGGGCACAGCGGGCTCTAACATTGCACGGCAGGTATCAAACCTTGAATACAGGTGAGTCTTATGCGCAGGATCTTCCTGGGCACCCAGCGCACGCTCCCGCTGCCGCCGCCGCCGCTGCCGCCACTGGCGTTGCGAGCAAGGCCCTTTATGCTCACCACCGCCCCAGGCCTGAGCCGTCCCCTTCAATCGCCAACCACCCAGTGCCTCCAGCCAGCGACGTTGCTGCGGCGCGCCTGGCAGGGGGGGTAGGATGCCCCTGGGCGGCGCCGGTGAGCAGGCAGGCGCGGCGTGCCTGCAGCGGCGGCGCTGAGCGATGTTCGCCTGCTGCTTCCGGCCGCCCGCGGCCGACGCGCCTGCGCCGGCGGCCGCGCCGCCGGCAGCCGCCGGCGCCGAGCAGGATGGCCGCGGGGCCAAGCGCAGAGGAGGAGGCGGCGGCGGCGACGGACCCCAGCCTGTAGGCGGCCGCGCAGACGTGCCCCTCGCCCGCGGCGCGTCCTCGTCATCGCCGCTCGTCGGCGGGCGCGCGCTCTCCGCTGGCAACCTGCTCCTGCTGCACGGCGCGTCCGCGTCGGCGGCCGGCGCCGCGCGCCCGCACGCCGCCGGCGCGCGCGCGGGCGC